TCCAACGAGCCTCCTCACTGCAGCCTCGCACCCACTAGCATACCCCTCCAGCCCCAGTCTGCCCAACATCGACTCCCCCACGCTCTGCTTTTCCCTGCTCATAACCTGCAATGCTTTCTGATAGCTCCAAGGCCCCGGCTTAAGTTCCCTGCACGATGATGAAGTCATTTCACAATCTGGTCCCAGCCTGCCTCCCATCTTTATTTTCTATTAACTATCAACATAACACCTTGCTGTTTTTGACCAGTTCCCCAAGTGTGTTACATGGAAGTCACGCAAATCTCACTTCTACATTTTATTCTTTTGTCCACATCACACCCCTTTCTGGATTCCATCACCATCCAAATTTCAAGTTGTTCCAAGTGCATCTCCTCCATGATATCTTGGAGACTATTAGTATATAACAGCCATGAGGCTATCTATATAATAAAAGCCTAAGCAACCGTAACGGTGAAAGGACCAGAACGACCGATCGCTATGATGCACACTGACCACCAGGGGGGCAGACGCTCAACGCAGGAGCTGCCCCCTGGTGGTCAGTGCGCTCCCACAGGGGGAGCTCTGCTCAGCCAAAAGCCGGATTCACAGCTGGAGAGCACAGCGGCGGTGGCGGGAGCCTCTCCGGTCTCCGCAGCAGCACTAAGGAGCAGCAAGCTGAGTGGTAAGGAGCAGCGAGCAGTAAGGAGCAAGGGGTCCCGGACTGCAAGAGGGCACAGGCCAAACTGAGGGGACCCCCCCGCCCCCCACCCCCAGTGCACGAATTTTGTGCTCCGAGCCTCTAGTTAGTATATAATTCCAGATCACAGTTTTTGGCCCTAAGCTCCTACAGCATTCAAAGTGTTCATTGCTATTAATGACTGAAATTATATACAGTACTCTATTTCCACTAATTCTCTTGTGTGCAATGTATACTTGAATAAAAGTAGAGCTTTTTCTTCAAAATTGTTTCTCAGAAAAGAGAAACCCCCTACAACTGACTTCTTACAAGAGCTCTAATACTTCAGGGTGCTGTATTTTGAAAAACAAAGTACTATTTGTAGAAGATACATTAACTTTAAGTGACCTCAACCAATCCTATTTCTGTATTATATAGAGGCCATCTGACAGAATCTGTTAACAAGGGGGGAAAGGGAACAGAAATTTAATCAGCTATAGCAATTATTCCTGAGAGAATGATCTTAGAATTGGAAGTGCTGTATCTCGTAAACAGCCTTTTTAGAATCACTTTGAAAATCAATGCAGTTAAATCTCCACATTGTCAAGACCATAAATATACATCTAACTAATTAAAAATGCAACAGTCCTGGTTTTATGTGAAAAGATACTGTGTTTTCGGACAAAATTTCTTGTGGTAACGTGGATTCAAAATCTGTTGTATCTCGACAAGTTAAGATGGTAGCGAGGAGGGTGCGCTCAGAGATCGGGTGTCAAAATGACTTGGAAGGCAGACTAAGCCAAGGCACTGACAGTGATGCATTTGAAACATTTGAATAACACACTTTGGTGAAATGTAAGAAGGGCAAAAACCAATCATCTAAATTGTTGTAGTATTTTATACCATGTGGTTTTAGATATGTATGAATAACTAACTTAATCATTTAAATAGAAATTTGACCACTGCATCTACATCCTTGAAAGTTACATACTGAAGCTGGCAAAATCCTATTTTTGGCAGGAAATGGGGGTGGGGACAGGGGTGAACAAAGAGACAGTAAAAATGAGTTCGTTAACTGACTGTGTTGTCTAATGTCATGATGTGACTGAAAAAGGACTTTTACATGGTTAGTCCCAGGCTTCTTAGCGACCCTCTGTGTGGAGCTCAGCTTTCCCATTTCCAAATTCAAGGACTAGAGTAAATGTTATCTAAGACCCGCTGTGGTTCTAAGATTTTACACCTATTGTTTTCTACTATATTCTCTTTTAATGATTCAGCAGCACTGGTACGTACAAATAGATGTTATCTACAGACTGTGAGAAATTTCTTGTTCGTTATTACCATTTAACATGACCTGGAAACTTAATGCAATTCAAGACGTCAGTCCTGCGCTACTGCCCCCACGGGTTTGACTTTGGACCTTAAAATCTTGGTATTTCACTTCAGAATGGCATCATTTTAGAGATAAAAGGTATATTTAAGCGTGTCTCGTTTAGTCCTCTTTTTTCCCCTAAAAGAGCCTGGAGCAGAGAGAGAGTTCAGGGACCAAGGGAGGCCCAAGCCCAGGCCTCATCCTTTGTTAATTCTGCCACGGCACCAACCTCTTGGCATGCCACTTGAGACTACTGTAGCTAGGAATCATATTTTCAAGTCCTCAATCTTTCTTCTAAGTAGCATGCATGAATGTACCAAAGTTATGAGCCATATGTGTGTAATTTTCTTGTTATTTTAACATGATTCCTGACTTCATTCTAGAGGTGAAGTACCCAGTGATCCATCCACACCTATGTAATTTTGCCCCATGGCAAAACCAACCAAAGCCTTCAATCGTCACCTCACAATCCTCCCATCCCAGCTCAAGAGGGAATGCTTTCTTGCCAGATGAGCTGCATTCCTAATTAGCACTCTCCTCATGGAGCATCTTCCTGTAGTAAATCAAGCGGAATGGACCAGGGGACAACAGATGCTGATCTCAAGCACACCACTCGTGAAAGCTCCATTACGTGAAGGTGACCTACGTAAGCTGGCACCAAGGGCCTTGTTCATACGACCATAGCATGACCGGGGCCACGGCTCCCAGGAAACACACACACCCCATCACGTCAGCACCTGGTCAACTTGATGCATCTTGTCTGGGATTATAAAAGCTACCGATCTCTGTGAGCTTGTCTTTGCCTTCCCAGGCTCAAATACTGTGTCACTGCTCAGGTTCCACGATGCTAAGCTTACGATTGTGAAAATGAGTACTTACCCTGAATCCTCTTTAAGGCTGAAAGACACAGATCCTTCCTCGGAAACTCAAAGGGGTTGTTGCAGTTCCGAACGGTGACACATTCGCATTTCCCATTGATGATATTGCAGCCGGAGACAAGGTTTTCTTTACAGGGTTCAAAACCAAGCAGTTGGTCATCATCCCAGTTCTCATCTGTAAAACAATGAAGAACCACATAATGTTTGCTTGTTAGCTTCCTTCAAAGAAAGGCCTGTTGGAAAGCAAAAAATGTGCGGGGAAGTCAAGATTAACATCTGATTTGGGCACCTCAATTTACGGAAGGCTGTCTGGCTGCAATTTTACAAATGAATGAAACCCAACCTCCTGATAACTGAGGAGACTGAAATATAGCCACACATGCACTAGTAGACAAGTGTTTGTGATAAAAACCACTGCTTCTCTTATGTGTTGTTATGATAATTGAGATTCCTTTAAGATTTTAAACACAGCTTCCTGGATTTTCCCACATTCAATCAAATTAGTAGGGGCCACATTAGTCAATCTACAAAAGTATTCCCCCAAAGTCCACAATTTTTTATGCCATCTGATAGAGACCACCTTCGGGTATAAAATGGCTCTCAACCTTAATACACCAAGGCAGGTAATAAACATAAAAAATCAGATACCAGCAAGAGTTAAGAACGGGATACAATGGCGGAGACCCCCTTCAGTGCATTTCAGGAGAGATGCTAACATCCATCACTAATCACAACCAAAGCCAGAAGGACAACAAAACCGAGGACTACAGCCTGGTGAGAGGCTGAGCTACTCCAATTCCACACCCAAGACCAAAGCAGTGTGCTGGTCACGGAATGGAGGAGGCTGGAAGAAGCAGACTATTAAACCCACCTTCCATGGGACCCAGTTCACACAAATGACACAAAAATGATAGACCACAAACAGACCCAATCCTAAATAATATTCCTCGGAGTTGAAACCTCCTATAGGCAACCAGATTATTTCTCTATGAATCTCTGGGACGTTATGTGGGTTTTTCCCCCCTTAACGTTATCTTTACTAGATACCTTATCGCACCTTTAACTGGGTACTGGCTATTAAAGAACATGTTTCTGATACCATATCTGAAGAGAATTTTTTAAAGTGCTTGAATTTAAGATCCCTTAAACCCGTTGCTCAAACAAAGGCAGGTAGAAAGCCATCTTAAGAATGTGTTTTCTCGAAGACGGTGCAAATGAACAGCCATGATTTTTATGGGGCTAATTTTTACTTCTGGTGACATCCCTGATTTATTGTATAAGTCAGGCGAAAGACTTGTTTTCCTACACTGAAATAAATAACTTTCTGGGCAAGGGGTCTTTGGAAGGATACCACTTACTATATAAAGAGCTGCAGAATGATTCTTTGAAAAGAGAGTATAGAAAACCTCCAGTGTTTTAATTTCAGGAGTCACTCACAGGTGATCAAAGGCTTAGCTCTTCGTGAAATGATCTGAGAAGCTTAAACAAAACCACACTTTATCCGTTTTAATATTTGTTTTCCTATGTATCTGGTCTTTAGAAATGACATGTATATATAACATGCACACACAAAGGTATATTCCTATCATCAAGACAACAGCGAAATTACTAAATTACTCTGAAAGGGAAACCAGAAAAGAATATATTGAAACAATTCAACATGGAAAAGTGGGTGATAATTTAATCTTCAGTTCTAATAAATAACAGAGCAGCACATGTAAATAATTTCTTATCTCTATATTTAATTGTGGACATGCTATTCAGTACCGCCAGCCTCATCCAGGGTAAGTGAAATTTGCCACGAAGGAATTTTTTAGACCGTATATTTAAATGTGCAACTCAAATAAAATTCAACACCAGGAACTTAAAAACTTGTAAGAAATTCAAGTAACATTTGAACCACTGAAAAACCATACCTCTCTTCTTTCCCCTAGTCTGAGAAAAACTCTTTATTACTATTTTTCTAAATATGCGCAATTAACATATCACCAAACTGAGTGGGTTCTAATGCAGATTTTTCCCCACAATAAACATCCCTCCCCTTCATTGTAACTGGAACTCCCTGAAGACATCTTTCCTGAACTACAATACCCTCAACCCAGACCCCCGGCCACAATTCTCCTGTCACTCCACTATCCCACCATTCCCCACACTGTCTGTCACCACAAACATCTTTCTCAAAAAACCAAACCTGCTCAGTGGTCCAAACTTCTTACTGAATATAATAAGAATAAAAACATAAGATTCTTCATGATATGTCTTGTACCTACTTCTAGACTCCTCTTTCGCCAGTAGCTCCCATGTCCGCATGCTCTAAGCCCACTGAGATCCTCACTACAAACTATTCATAATGCTTCCATGCCTTTGCTCATGGAGTATCATCCACCTAGACGCCTCCTGCTCTTCGTCCTCTGGCAGCTCCTATTCATCCTTCAAGACCCAGTTCCAATTATACCTCTTTGAGAGTCTTGTCAACACTGAGCTGCTCCAGCCTCCATGCTTCTGCAAACACACAGACCTTTGTCCCCTTTGGTGATGATTTTTATGTTAAGGCCAAATTTCCCCTCTAGACAGAGTCCTGACAAACAGAGCCCACTCTCATCCAACTTTGAACCCCCTTAACCGCAGGATGTAGTACAGTGTTCAATATCTATCTATCTATCTATCTATCTATCTATCTGGATTTTCATGTCACTGGTATGGTCAATGCTGTTATCTATGCTTTTTCTTTTAACAGAAAATGTTTTATTAAAAAATATTGTCTGTATATGCATGTACACACATACATATAAAACATCACAAGGAAAACTATGTTTCAGTGTAAAGAGTATGCCTGCACAATAAAAGTCGTATTTAAAACGCTGATTAAACAGGCATTCGTGAGGCACGCATTCTGAAGAAATGCTTGGGCACATTTTGGCACTTTTCCCACAAGAAATCATCTATCACCAGGCTGCTTCCCATTGCAGCTCTATGACTCCAACCTCTTATCACCTGGCTGGCATCGGCGGCCCTCCCACGGAGTCCGTCTCTGAGCCAATTTGTTTCCACTGCCAGATGCTTTCCCGGCCTCCCCACAGAATGAAAAGGCAACTGCCCTTCATGCTCTCCCTGGCTCCGCACTGCTGTCGGCTTCGCTCTCAGCCGAAGCCTCCTGGCGGTGGTGACAGCTGTCTTGAAGAAGCACGGGGAAGCCTGACGTCGTGGCCACCGAGGCCAGTCAGGAAGCTCTGACTCTGAAGCCAAACATGTCTTATATGTTTTTATTTTCTTTTTTTGAGAGAAACCCTCTCCATTCTATGTCCCCATCCTAATCAATACTTTGTTTTTCTTCTTGGAAAACAGTTCCGTTGGCAACCACCGCTTTATAGGATCAAATACAACAGCAGTTCTCAACCTGTGGGTCGTGACCCCTTTGGGGGTCGAACGACCCTTTCACAGAGGTCGCCTAAGACCATCGGAAAACACATATATAATTACATATTGTTTTTGTGATTAATCACTATGCTTTAATTATGTTCAATTTGTAACAATGAAAATCATCCTGCATATCAGGTATTTACATTACGATTCCTAACAGTAGCAACATTACAGTTATGAAGTAGCAACGAAAATAATTTTATGGTTGGGGATCACCACAACATGAGGAACTGTATTAAAGGGTCACGGCATTAGGAAGGTTGAGAACCACTGAAATACAACATGCTTCTGAGACCAATGCTATTATGTTTTCCTATTACTGGGCATTATACTTTAAAACCACTTAACAGCCAATTGGCAGGGATTTAAAGCAACAATGTAGTGAAGGTTTGATCACAGAAATCAACTCTGAGCCCAGTGGTGCTGCTGACGGCACTTGGGAAATTTGACGTTTTAAAATCTCTTTCTCCCCAAGTAAATCATGTATATACAGTGCCCGGACCCAGGTTCTGGTTCTCTGACAGATTCCTGTTTCTCCTTGGACCTGTGGGGGTGGGGAGGTGGAGGGAGTTCAAAAACAGTAGTGTCTTCCTGGTACCTCCATGTAACAAGAATCCTTCCAGCCTGAAAGCTCAAAGCAACTGAGATAACTCTGCAAGTATTTTTTTTGTGTGTGGGTATTTTTTTTCCAGATATTTTTTTCCACTGATTTTTAGAAAGAGGGGAAGAGAGAAGGAAAGACAGAAACATCGATGTGAGAGAAACACATCGACTGGTTGCCTTATGCACTAGTTCTGACCAGGACCTGAGCTGCAAGTGTATTTTTAAGCGTGTAATTTCCGCAAGATACCATATGAGGATGTTATTTTCTCTAAACAACAACAACAAAAAAAAAATGAGAGAAACCTAATAATTTCATGTATGGATTAAAAGCCATGCATGTTCCAAGAGGTTCCAATAGGTGGGTACTACAGTGAAGAGCCAGTGGTATCTGGCTGCTAACCCAACATCACCACTTGGGTGTTTACAAAACATCTCAAACTATGATGCTTCTCCCTCGAGACGGTCACTTGGCTCAGGTAGGCCGCGGCACAGTGACGCCACGTGGACGAGCCATCTCATCCCAGGGAACGTTCATAAGATGTGTCATCAAAGTCTGGAATTTAATGACTTGTACTGCTTCAATCACGGGAATTCTTAAGGGAAATTGATTTTTTTATGCTGTTTATTATCTTGCCATTAGGATTGACTATAAGTGCATGGCGTGGACAAATGCAAGGACTGACTGGCAGAGTTTATACACATGCGCTCTTAAAATAAAAAGCATCTTAGCTTCTATGCGTGCTAAGACGCCAGCCGTTTTACCACCATCGCTTTGGTATCACCTGTGCAAATGCTGACACAGAATAAAAGCAAGGAGCATTTAATATGACTCTGAAATAGCTTTGACCTCATATACTTGGGCTCCTCCAGGTTCTGGGGCCCACACTTTGACAACTGCTGTTCTAGAACAAGAGCATGTCTTACTGGTATACCTGGGCCAATGCAAATAACAAAGGACGCACTGGCTACCTCTTCTCTGATGTTACCACTGAACCATAAAAACATATATATTTTTAATATATATTTTTTAATATATATTTTTATTGTGTGTTTTTTAATATATATTTTTATTGATGTCAGAGAGGAAGGGAGCGGGAGAGAAACATCAATGATGAGAGGGAACTATTGATCGGCTGCCTCCTGCACGCTCCCTACTGGAGATGGAGCCCAGAATGCTGGGCATATGCCCTGATCGGGT